CCCCCCCCCCCCCCCCCCCCCCGTGTCTGAAGTGCAGCTTTTTAGATGCTTTTATGTCCGAACCTGAACAGTCAGTGTTCTGTAATAACCTGCAAGTGGCAGGATCTTGGTTTGTGAACACTGATGTCTACAATCAGGACTCGGTGTATTTTTATTTACACATGAAAAAAACCGTTCCAGATTTTCTCATTCTCAGATTATCAAAGTGATGAATAAATGGGTGCTGTCTTGTTTTAAGGTGTAATAAAAGCAGGTTGTCGTTGAAAGGGCCTCGCCTGTTTGTCTGTTTTTAAAACGCATCATTTCCTCCTGCAGTAGTGATGGTGTGCTTTCTGCGCTACGCCCAGGTGATCGAGCACAGCCATCAGTGTTGGGTCAACACCAGCGCTCTGGTGAGCGGCTGTGCCAACGCCGTCGGTCTGGTCATGGTGGGCAACTTCCAGGTAGTCCTTATCAGAACATACACTGACTTTGTCCCTTGTGTACAAGCTATTTGAGGGTGCCCCCTCCTGACTGAACGTTTCTGTGTGGCAGGTTGATCACGCCAAATCTCTTCATTACGTGGGGGCTGGTGTTGCATTTCCAGCAGGGCTGCTGTTTGTGTGCCTGCAGTGTGTGCTAACGTACCGAGTGGCTATGACCGCCCTCGACTACTGGATGGCTCACTTCAGGGTGGCTCTGGCTCTGGGAGCCATGATCTCCCTCGTCCTCAGTATCCTGTGAATCAGAGGGCCGACCCTCCTGACGTTCTTAGTAGTTCGTTCACTGTTGTTTCGTCTGCCGCTGAAAGACAACGACCCACGATGATGCTTTTTCTCGTTTGTGCGTCTGTCACCAAAGTCTCATGAACTGGATGTTAATGAAACATATAGAAAGTAATCATTGAATTTAAATCTACTAATGATCGTTTTTGAAGTTAAGATTCAAGATGGCTGCCATTGCCAACTAACCTTAAAAATAATGACAATTCAATTTGACAAACTTTGACGTGGGAGGTGGTGGGAGAAATGATTTGATTCAAAGTTCTGTTCAGAGCCGGGAAGTTTTTGTTTTATGGCTCTGAGCTGCAGTAACGTGATCTCACAACGGTTTCATATTTTTGTCGTTTCCTGCAGGAAAACGCTTCTTTCGCGTTTTGTTCTACCAGAAAAGTTTGTCTTCCTTAATGTGTCCTCCTCCCAGGTGGCATCTTCTTCATCCACGAGAGTTTCGTTCTTCAGCACGCAGCGGCCATTTGCGAGTGGGTCTTCACTGTGGACATCCTGGTCTTCTACGGCACGTTCACCTACGAGTTTGGCACGGTCACCACGGAGACCATGATGGCAGGCCTGCAGCAGAGCCACCACGGCTCGGGGGTCATCATGGACCCCATGTCCCGCGCGTCGACGCTGGGCGGGACGACGAAGAGCCTGAAGTCCCCTGGAGGAAGCAGCACATCCACACATCTCAACTGTACCCCAGAGAGCATAGCTATGTTGTAGCTCGACGCTCAGAGCAGTCTCTGCAGAGGTGCTTCACGGGCTGCCTCAGGAAGACGAGCAGCATGTGGTCAAAGAGCAAACCGATCTTTAACCTTTACACCTAAACCAGGTATTTCTACTGGTAATGCTTTCCCCCACTTTATTCCCACGTTCAGCGCAGGTTGCTAGTTTCTGTAGCGTTGGAGGAAATGAAAGATTGAATGTCTGGAGCCAGCGTGGACACCGGAACCATGGCTGTTGATATCAGCGGTCCTGCATGAGAATAGGGCGTCTGAATCGACAGCTGTCGTCACTGGTGTCATGAGGAAAACAAAAGATTCCTAAATCCCTACAAGTTTTGCCCTCCCTCCCCCGACTCACCCGTTGCTCTGCTTGGCCCACCTGTTTTGGCCTCTTGCTTACCTCTGCACGGCACACCTCCTGAATGGATCAACAAGTTTCTGTTGGATTTTTTGCATCCATAAATAGAAAACAATGAATGTTGAGAAGTGACTAGTTCTAGTACGTTTTACAGGCTGTAAGCATAAACTACAATTAATCATAAACTACTTGAAAGGTACTTTGAATAATCATTAAATTCAACTCACATTATTTTTGTTGCACTCCTAATTTTAATGCAATTAGTATTTTTAAACGATCTTTACTAAACACGTCGAGGTTAGTCTAAAATCTATATTTTTCCGGTTGAACCGTCGTGACACTTCCTCATACTGCATGATCTGTTTGTTTGGCAGTTATGTCCGTTGCATAAAAAAAGTAACACGAGGAACAATCGTCCGATAATTTTCGCTCCCCTGGAGTGAACGATGCCTTTTGTTCGGTGTGTGAGACGAGCGCAGAATAAAAGACGTTTGAAGCGGTTGAAATCTGACGAGTCGGCGTGCGGACACGACTATAATCCGACGGGTGTGTTTATACGATGACACGTCCACACACTGATCTGATTCCAGGCTGGATCCTTGGAAGCCTTATTTGAGTAAAAATATATTTTCTTCTTTATGTGTGAAGCTTTCTTGTAAGTTGTCGGGAGTTTTGCACCGGAGAGGCAGATCTGTTTGTTTTCCACTCAAGTGTTATAAAACACTGCCATGTAGGCTGTCAGTATCTGTTGTACTGATCTTTCTTTTTCTCGTTCCTTTTCCACATCACTTCCTGTCACCGTGACTCCACAAACTCCTAATGAAACTAAAGCAAAGACTAATCCGGCCCGTTCAAAGTTCTGCTCTGTGTTTCTTTAACCACATTAACTAAAAGTATTCTGTCCCCCTCATCGTGTTGGTATGTTTTTACTTTATAACACCAGATACCAGCAATACACATTTTGAAAACATCACGCCTCCTACCTCTTAGCTTTTGTGGGTTTGATGTAAGAAAGTGAAAGCTGCAGCTTTTTCCATCCGGTTGTTTTAAAGGTTGTTTTTTTGCTCGGTCTACAAATGTCTAAAGATGTATCGGCATATGATAGAAGCGTGGACGGCTTTTTGGGAACTATGGTTATGTGGCGTTTTCATTGTTTACTCCGTAACGGGTTTGGTTTTCCGTTATTTGTTGGCCTACAGCAAACCTTGCCAAAAAAACTAAACTGGGATCCACAGTGCTTTCTTGTTTTTGTCAAATGTGTTTGAATTCATTTAAAATGCGCAGTTTTAGCCTTATCCTTTGTGTTCTGGCAGATTTTTTTAAACTTATTACTGTAACGGTCATTGTGAGACTCAGAGCGGCAGCTTGTGTGGGCCCTCACATCGGAGGGGGGGGACTGTTTGTGTACCATTAATACCATCCTCCACATGCCAAATGTTACAATGAAAGGTGACTTCTCTTGTTTTTTTAAATCAAATCGTGCACTCTGTTGAGCTGTCAAAGACTGTATTTATGGGTGATCCCTGTATTTTAAAAGGTTGCCTGATTCTGTTTGTTTTTTTTCCACGTTTTGAACACTCACAACTCGGATACGTCTCCAAAATGTACTCTGCCTATTTCCTTGTAATCTGAAATCTATATAATAGAATTGTCAGGAGGCGTCTGAGAGATGCCTGAAAACATGTCGATACATTGTTTTTATAAATCCTGTAAATATGTGATTTTTTTGTCTATCATTTAGGTATTTTCTTTTGACAGAGACTTATATTCAAATATTAAATAAAAAGAATAAATTATTAGCAAATGGTTTTCATGGACTTATTGAAAAACTTTGTCTTCCGTTTTTTTCTTGCTTAGAGCAAAATGACGTCCTGTTTGTAGTTTCCTGTTAATTATTTTGTATAACGGCGAAGAAAAACATTAAATCAGGATGTCTCAGTCTCCATTTAGATTACCTGCCAGATTTTTGCTAATCTGCTAATTTGTCTGATAGTGGTGCAGGTTATAAAAAATGTGACTTGAATATAAACCTATTCGTAACAGAAAATAGTAATGAGCTAAAAAAAAAAAGAGTCCATGCTCAATAATTCAAGTATACAATCCAACCATTTTCAGTCAGGTCATCTGGACAATTTCTTTTTTTTTTCTGAAACGTTTCACCTTTTATCCAGAAGACTTCATCAGTCAAGGAAACGCAACAAAACTGATTCTTCCCCCAAACAGCTTACTCCAAACGTGGAACAAACCAGTTATGTTGGTGCTAAGATGGTGTCTTGTATACCTGGATTATTGAGCATGGACTTTTTTTGGTTTTGAACCAATTTGACATGACTCTCGACGAGGAGGAGGGCCAGCACAAGAGGAGGGGGCGTGCCAAAGACATCATCTTAGCACCAACATAACTGGTTTGTTCCACTTTGTAGTAAGCTGTTTGGGGGAAGAATCAGTTTTGTGTTGCGTTTCCTTGACTGATGAAGCCTTCTGGATAGAAGGTGAAACGTTTCAGCAAAAAAAAAAAAAGAAACTGTCCAGATGACCTGACAGTTAAATGTTGGAGTAACAAGCTACTTTTATGATTTAACCTTTCCTCCCAACCTCCACTTCCCTTAAATAAATCAACACTGGTTGGAAAACCACTAGAAAGGACAGCTTTATAGATTTTACATCTTTTGACATAACAGTAAAAAAGTGGTCATAGATTAGAATAAGCTTTCAGAAATATTTCTTTTTGATAAATGCGTCATTTGTGCACCTCAACTTTACAAATTTTAGTATAAACTCAAGATTTTGGACTAACATGCTTCAGAGTACTTAGCATTTGAAAATGTAAAGCTACAGAAAAAAACAAAAAGCTTTTTAACATATTCAGTGTTTTGCTACATTGATGCACCGTTACTCCAAACGAAGCTGCCTTTTCATTGCAAAGTGGTTACTCTCAGAGCATCACAAACATTTTAGGTCTAAATTTGATCAAGTTTCATTTTATGAAACATTTATCTAATTTTTTTTTTCTTCGTGAATGAAACAACCAAAGATATTTGCAGCCGTTTGTCCAAATCTTTTAGATTTTGTAGATTTTTTTCCATTGACTGCACATATTACGTCATAAATTCTCAATATATCTAGTTGATTTGATGATTTCCTCCCCGTGCCTGAAGTTAGGCGTTCTACAGATGAGTCTGAATGCAGCAATTCTTAAAGCGCTCGTTGAGTGGGGAAGACTTCAGGTGTACATGGCGCCATGCAGGCCTTGTAGACGATGCTCCCTTTGTTTTCTTCTTTCCTGAAGACAAAACTAAATTTAGCTCAGGTCACACTGAAAGCAAAGTTTGAAGACCGTTAAAAAGATGTTTGCAAACTCACTTTGTCCTTTTTAAACTCCTCGTATTCTGGATTGTCTGTTGGTAATTCAAGTCGGCAGAGCGGACAGGAGTTGGTCTACGATTAAAACGTGGAAAAGTTTTATAGGGATTTTAAACGCATGCACAAATTAAAGATAAAATATAATACTTGTGTTTGTGAGCTTTACCTTGCCCAACCACGGCAGTATGCATCCCGAGTGGAAAAGGTGTTTGCAAGGCATTTCTCGAACCGTCTCTTGCTCCTCAAATTCCAGCAAACACACCGGACACTTCAGCCCCTTGTCTGTGAAATCAGCGAGACAGCCTCATTTAAATGTCAATAATCCAAGAGATCTCTGCCAACAGGCGACATATTGACACAAATCCACCTAGATTGTAACACCTGCTTGTTCTGGAGAAACGATGACCACAGTGAGGGTCTGAACAGCAGCTTTGGCAGCTGGAGGAGGAAGCCGCTGGTCCCAGTCTGACAAATCAAACACCCCGGAGTCCATCAAGTCCAGGCCCTGCATTAAAGACCTGAACACAAAGAATGACAGAGCTGGAACCTACAAGACACTGGAGCTCTTCTACCCCTCTGCTGTAGCCAGCACTACCATGGCATGTTGGGAGAACAACACTGGACTGGATCCAGCAACAACAACAGTCTTCTAATGAAGGCTGCAGCTCGACGAGTGTGAACAGGTTGTGGAGATAAAGATGAACAAACTGGAGAGCTCACATCATCCACTTACCTGAAAGACACAGCGTTATAAATGTAACAAACATTGCAGGAAACCTTCGTTGCCACCAGCCATCACACCCTTCAACAAAATCTGTCACCTCTGTGTCTGCAATAAATGTCGACTGTTTCACAGTTTTAATCACTTTGTTGCTTCGTGAATAACAAAATTAAATTGACCTAAAGAGCAAAGTGAGGCTTTGGCTGCGTTAGGTCTCACCTGGCCAGTTCAAGTAGAGCATTCTGTCGATACTGATCCTCCGGGTTGGTGGGCTCACAGTCGTGTTCATCAAAGTACGACGCCATTTTGGTCCAGTTTCTGTCCACTTCGAATCAAGAAGGAACCTGCAAAAGTAAAGGATTCAATAACATATTAGCACACCTAGACGCTGTGGACGACTGGGCTCACACTGACTTCATCCATCCATCATCTTTTACACGCTTCTTCCTTTCCGGGTCACATCCAGCAGTCACTGTGTGAGGTGGGACAGAAGGACACCCTGGACACATTGCATGTCCATCACAGGGACACACGGAGACAACCATTCACACTCACTCACACCTAGGGACAATTTAGAGTCATCATTTAGACTAGCATGCATGTTTTAGGTCTGTGGGAGGAAACCGGGATAAACCCACGCATGCACGGAGAGAACATGCAAACAAGACCCAGAAAAGTCCCGGACCAGGACTCGGTCCCGGACCAGGACTCGGTCCCGGTGAGAGGCAAAAGCTCCACCAACTGATCCATCGTGCCACCTCCAGACAGAGTTATTTAATTTAAATAAAAGTACCGTCCACTCATACAAAATGAATCAGTTTACTATAGTGCTGTAAAAGTGACCTGGCACAGCTGACTAATAATAGAACGAAGAAGCTCCTCACTTTCATTAACATTTAATAAAGATATAATACGACTAACAGAAACGTTCACTTCAAACAGGACAAATAATAGTAAAAAAAAAAAAAGAAAAAAGTACTTAAACATTAAAGAGACTTCATCTTGTATAAAAGAACATAAAAAACAAAATAAGTTCTGTCTATTGTTGGATTGTTGAACTCGGTTTTCGACTTACCAGAACCCCGAAGCGTTTGACATTTGTCATTCTTCCGGGTGTGACGATCTTTATCACGTGACAACTCGTCCAATCACGGCAGAGAGTTTCTTCTTCGCGTGATGAAAGCGTCCTCAATCGATTTACCGGTACAGTACTTTATTTAATTTTTATTGAACAATTGAACATACAGAACAAGTGAACACACTAACAGAATAAATGACAAACTCAGATTCCAGTGATACATGTAAACATGTAAACATATCTACTGTCATACATCCTAAATTCAACATATTCTTAAACAAATTACCATAACAGTCACCAGTACAGTACTGCAGTTTGGGGAAATGTTCAAGTTTTTTATTTTGGAAATGTCTAAGTTAACGTGCAGTTTTCACCAGAACAGTTTACTTTGACAATAAAGACCCTCGTGACTAGTAAACAGCAGGGATTTGGCAAAATGATTTATAATTTTACAAGTAATTCAAATCTTTAAGATAAAAATTAAGATTTCTCCCAGGCACATGAAACAAACTAGTGGTAAAGCTAGTTATCATGTTATTGTTCAGACCAGGAGTGTTGAACTCATTTACACAACAGGTCAAAGTTAAAAACTTGGTCTGGGCAAGGACTAATATAACTTATTGAAACATTATTATAATCTGATCTTGGTTTACAATCACTGTTTCCCAAAACATTTTAAATAAAATTTAGAACAAGCATTAATCAAAAAAAAAAAAAAAAAGGCCAAAGTGAAGACATTATGTGCTGAATATTGGTTAAACCACTGCTAGCAAACATAAACTACCAATTTAGGTCAATCATGATCACTATAAGTGTGAAGCCCTAACTATGCCCTGGACTTGTCAAGACCTCCAGAACCGTCACTAAATATTTTGGTGAATGCATATAGTATATTTGAAACAGTTCAGAAGATGGCCACCATTAATTCAAACTTGTGCACCCTTGATAAAGCCTGTATAGAGCCCATACTAGCCCATGAGCTTCAGGCTCTCAGGGTCCACTGCAGGTAGACTTCAACCATATTTTACCATTGATAGTGTGACTCTAATCAACTCTCGTTGCATCAGTTCTTCTCAGGTGTAGGTGATTTGTCACTGTGACTTGTTTTTCCGCTCTGTGGGTGGTTCACTCTTATCGGACTTCAGTTTCTTTAGCTTATCCCAGCACTGGATGAGTCCAGGTGTAGCCATGTTGTGCCGTCATCTCCGATATCTCTCTGTAAATGCACTCCTTTCTTGTGGTGCCATCCGTCAACACGATCAGAGGAAGTGGAGGTTGCTGGGTGGATTATCCAGTGACGTATCTGGCTAATCATCAGCTGCTGTCTGATTATGTCAAAATCGTCACCTCGGTGCAGTCTGTTTACAACCTCAAGCAAGGTGGTTCCATAAACTGGCCTGAGTGGGGGTGGGTACTGGCAGTGGACAGGAGCTGGTGCAGTGCAGAACCCATGAGAGTTGAGACAGTGGCAAAGTGCCTTTACACAAAGTAAAAACAGTTCACTGTGACATGCTGGTTAAAGCTCTTTGCAAAGAAATAGCCATGCAGGTGTGCAAACCATTCAGAAACAATGACAAATGAAATAAAATGCATATCCTTTTTTAGAAACCGTAGATGTCATGTTACATACTGAAGAGGGACCATCCTGCCCATTATCAGTGCACAGTTCAAGTTCCTGCCTCTCTGATGGCATGGGGGTACATTAGCGCCTATGGCATAGGCAGTTTACCAATCTAGAAAGGCACAATCACAACTGTAGAGTAAATACACGTTTTACAACAATATATGCTTACAATAAGACATCATTTTTAAAAGATAACTTTGCACATTTCTGCAAGACCATTCATCATGTCATGCTTCAAAAAAATCTAAAGACACAGGACTGTTGAACAGCTATGCCACTTTGTCATTGGTAATGCCTCTCTGATGGTATGGGGGTACATTAATGCCTATGGTATAGACAGCCTAGAATCCTACATCAGACAAAAATTACACATTCCTCTCCAAAAACTCCAGCAGCTGATATCTTAAGTTATTAAGACATTTACGGACTGTTGTTAAAAGAGTGGATTCTTTAAAGTGGTAAAGCTATTGTCTTTTTTAGATGTGTTACAGCCATTAAATTCAAAATGATCAAAAAGTACCAAAATTACCCAAAAAAAGTTGTTTTATGTTGATGTTCCTGTGAATAACATGAGTTCATGAAATTTGAAATGATTGGTTTTTTTTTTTTTAACCTTTTACACAATGTCAACTTTTTTAAATTTAGGTTGTAAACTTGTAATTATGGATAATGTTATCAGTTTTTTTTCTTTCGGCCGCTCCCTTCTTCAGGGGTCTCCACAGCAAATTAACTCACATGAAGACTTAGCAATTGTTTTCACACCAGATGTCCTTCCTGACACAACCACAGACCACCAAGCTGCCACAAATCAAATCGAAGAACAACAGTAGCACTCAGGGCTATGTTTAATAATGAACGTAAGAGCATTTCCACATGCACAATGTGAAGGGAACTCAAGGGATTCGGACTGAACAGCTGTGTAGACTTAAGAAAACCACTAATCAGTGAGGCTAACTGGAAAAAAAAGCTTCAATTTGCTAGGGAGCATAAAGATTGGACTCTGGAGCAATGGAAGGTCATGTGGTCTGATGAGTCCAGATTACCCTGTTCCAGAGTGATGGGTGCATCAGGGTAAGAAGAGAGGCAGATTAAGTGATGCACCCATCATGCCTAGAGCCTAGTCATCAATGCAAGACCTTGGTGAAACATTAATGCAACACTGGATGAAAATAGATGTGACATTACAGAAACTTATCGAAACAATGCTACAGTGAATGCATGATGTAATCAAAGCTAAAGGTGGTCCAACAAAATATTAGTGTGTGACCTTTTTGTTGGTGGCGACTTTTTTTTTGGCCAGTGTATATAGTAATAATAAAAAAAAAAACAGTAAATGGTAAAAAAATAATCTCACATTTTTGGCATTACAAAATAGGAAATAATTTATTGCAAATATCCAAACAAAAGACCATATTTGCATGTAACTTCACACTTACCGTATTTTAAAAAGTGTAAATTTAAATAAAAAAGCTTTGTTTTTGTAGTTCTTGCAGATTTCCAGCAGGGGGAGGTGCTGCTCAATCTAATTAACTCCGCCCATAGATAACCCCGCCCACTTTACTGCTGCCAACAGCCAACTCGAAAACTTTTCCCACAAATTTTATTTAAAGTCTGCATCTGTCTCACAATTTAGAGCATCTAAAGCAGACATAAAGTAATCGTTATGTTCTAAACGAGGAGAAAAATCATTTTCTGAGTAACTTTGATAGCAAAACAATTTATTTGCTTGATCAAAGAAGCATGGATGAATTTCACTATTCATATAATGTGACATTCAATCTGAAAAGAAAAATAAAGACAAGACAAAAATGATTTGAAGAAGGTATGGCTTTGGTTAAATAAATTTCCACTACATTGACTTGAACAGATGCCTGCTGCATCTTGAAACAGAGTGAAATAAAAATGAAGGCTCTATAAATCCCTGAAGACAAAAGGCCAAATTACCATGAATGTAGAGACAACTTAGTGGTCATACAGTAAATGCTGTAGGAAATGAGTCATGTTAGTCTCACCATTTAATCTGGCAGAGCTTCTGGCTCTTTTCCAACAGCCAACACATTTCAGTGGACTCACAGACTTGACAACAAAACAACAACTGTGGACCAACAACTTGCTTCAGTGACACAAAACACAACCTGTTCACTCAAGCTGGAATACAAAGTTGTTAATCCACAGGTGCAGTTTTTGGAAGCTCACAGACAGAGTTTACTGTTCATCAGTTTGTGTACTGCTCAACATTCACCAGTTTCTTAACGTAGTAATCACAGCAAAAATACATGATATCCGCCACAACTTCACTGCCCCCCCCCCCCCCCCCCCACTGAACAAGTGGTTACAAAACACACGCTGCAGCGGCATCATCATTAGTATTATTAATTTAACAAAAACCTTCTCAGGATAAGTCAGAAACACTAATAGTAGTGTAAGAGGTACAAACACAGTGGCTCCACTTGTGTCACGTTTTTTTTTCCCAGAATGAAAAGGAATGATTTGACAACACAAAATGTCAAAACAGCTGATTACTAACTGAATAAAACCAACAAAATTATTTTTCAATTTTACTTGTAGATAGAAAACAAACTTTGAGCTCATGACTGCATAGTGTAAAACTGATTTAGTAATATTGTTGCCTTATAACACGTATCCACACTTTCATACAAGAGCTTATGATGAAGCGACTAATAAAATCACCCAACAGTCACTTGTTTTCAACATCTGAATACTGGTTTCCCTCTCCAGTCAGAATTCGTCTATGACGCGGTCACCTGCCTCAAACTCTTCATCATAAAAAAGTATCCAAACCCTTTTGGTTCTCGCCTGTTTTAAAAAATAACATTTGTACTGCAAAGCTAAAAACGGTTACCAGTCACCCGTTCCTTACTTCCTGGATTCCACAACACACTCAGCCAGTGAGCAACATGGTTAACACAGTTTTTCATAAGTTTCAGTGTCAGAGTGATCAGCACAAGTTCTCCTCTTTCTGAAACGATGAGAAACAATGAGCTGAAGCAACACGACTTCAGGGTTACAGAAAACAACTGCTTTTGATCTTTGGAAGAAAAAAAGTCCAACACATGCTAGGAGACAAGAAATAAATGTTATGTCTTCTGCTTGCTTGACAAAAAAATAATAATACAGCACTTTTCTGGCTTTAAGAAAAAAAAAAAGTTCAATGTCATTAAAACGCTATGTCTGCATCACATTCACTGATAGACTCGAAAACAGCTTCAAAATATGTTGCTGTCAGAGGAGAGTAATTTGTGTTTACTTCAGAAAGATATTAAAACATTTAGTCAGGCAGTATGCTACTTTACCAACATAAACAAACCCAACCTATTCACACTTGATCATGGGAGAACAAGATTCTCCACATAAATCCACCTTCACTGGTGCTGAGATGATTGGCCTGACAGAAACGTGGCGCTGGGCCTGGATCCCTAACTGAACAGTTTGATGAAGCAGCTGTGACAGTAAGGTTTGTCGTTTTGCTCCTTGAAGGTGCCTTTGTTGAGTTGTTTCAAGCAGAAAGCGCAGACAAAGTGCTCCGGGTGGAACTTCTTGGACATGGCTGTGATGCAGCGCCCTGTGATGGGCTTCTGACAGCCCGAACAGAGGGAGCCGCGCCGCTCGTGGTAGTGCACTTCACAGTAGGGTTGGCCATCGTGCTCGAAGAAGCTGCCATTCACAAACGGGGTGAAGCACTCCTGCACATAAACAGATGCAGTTAAGACTAGGTTCAAGTCTTCGTGTGAAGCACACGAACACAGGCGTGATATAAACATGATGCAAACCCTGCAAACAAAGCACTCCGGATGCCAGAGACAGTTGAGCGCAGAGATGTAGTTTTCCAGAATGGCTCTGGCACAGCCGCCACATTTCGGTGCAAACATATCAAAGTAATCCTTCCTGCAGTAAGCTTTTCCATCCTTTTCATGAAAACCTTCAAGAGGAACACACGAGCACACATTGTTTCATTAATTACTGTATTTTCCAGACTAAACGTCGCTCCGGAGTAAATATCACATCAGTAAAAGAATGCCTCATGAACAGGGAAAAAACACAAATAAGTTGCTTCCGAGTATAAATCACATTTATTATGCGTCACTGCTGACCCCCGGGAAACATGGACTGGTGTCGTGACAAAAATCAATTGGTGGCTGCGGGAGCATGCATGGGACTCGATGTTGCAGTTCTTTGAAATTTAACAAGATTAACACCTACAATCAATTATTGTTTGCTCCACATCACAGCAAAGGCGTGTCTCAGTTTAACGTTTCCTTAATAAATGCACTTTAATGATCAGAACAGATTCATTTCGCCTGGGTGGCGCGGCGCGGTCGCACTGAGAACAGTCCGTCCCGGTTGGCAGATGTGCCGGGAGGCGAAGGGGCTCCGTCCCTCCACCCCTCCGCCGCCGGATGTGGGCAGCGAGGGGCGTGGTCTGTGGCCCCAGGAAGTGGCAAGGTGCAGGCAGGGGGATGCTGTAGAGCTAAATGTGGTGGTTCATGCGAGTATGAACGAACATTTAACACGGTCAAAAAATTGCGTCATGAATGGGGAAATAGGTCTGTTACGATAACAAATGTTGCTGGGCGATTGTCTCAAATTACTGAGATAAACGATAATATTGTTTGAAATTTGACAATAATAAGTAATTATTGTCAAATTTAAGAATGTTTGTTAATTTGTTTTGCATGTAGTACCTTTTTCGACCACCGGATGGCAGTATAAGACTGTTTGACCCCAAAGGATGAGGGAGCAAGCAACATCTCTAAGGAAAATGGGAGGGAGGCCCCTTGACGTGACATGGGCTGTCTCTCTCTGGTTCTCAAAATGACAGATGCTCGGTGTGGTTTGAGCTCTTTAGCATAGCATTTTTCACACCAAATTTTTCATTAAAAAATCAGTAAATAAGTTCTCAACTTCTTTTTGCAGAGAAAAACAACTTTTTACACAAAGGCACAAGTTTCAATCGTGAATTTTGGAGCTTTGACAAGACAGAGGTTTTTTCCTGAGGTCGGTCTGTTAGCTTAGCTCGTAGCTTAGCTTCTCAGCTTAGCTGCTTTTAACGATCCAAAAACACGATTATTGATTTATTTTTATCGCGACAGGCCTAAGGAGAAAAAAAAACATATAATTCGCTTCGGACTATATGTCACAGGACTGGCCAAACTATGAAAAAAAGAGCAACTTATAGTCTAGAATATATGGTAGTCTGTAATACAAAAGCAAAAATAATACTAATTCAATGTAGGAAAAAAATCCAATACCCTCTGGACCAAAGAAGGATCCACACTGAGCGCAGAAGAAGTGTTCAGGATGCCAGGTTCTGTCCAGCGCCGTCACAACTTTCTAAATGGATATGACAGCACTTATCACGATGTGAAAACTCGAACATACAGCCCACATGTGTGCAGCGCGACCATGACTCACATCCAGTATGGGCCCATTGCAGTAGTAGCATCGAGGAGAGAACAGATGATGATAGTCTCTCTCACAGTAAGGCTGTCCTTCTCGCTCAAAAAAGTTCCTGGAGCCGATCTCCTCTTGACAGTGTGTGCACACAAAGTGTTCTGGGTGCCACGTGCGGCCCATGGCGGTCACCACCTGAGCAGGAAGGAGACGTGATGAGCATGTAGTCTGCAGAGTTTAAACATTTGCATAAGCACCATTATTACTAATCTGTGAACATCAGAGTTTTGTTAATTGTGGTTAAATAAATTGTAATTGGAGTTTGTGATTGGAGTTTTCAATCAGCAGTTGTTTGAGGTTTGTCAGGCTTTAATTATGTCTGTCTGTCATTACCATGGCAGTCAGGGAGTGAAAGAGACAGGTGTATCATTACTATGGTGACCACAGTGAGCCACTGGCAGCAGCTTAAATAGGGATACTCGTTGCGCGGCTCCCGAGCCACATGCGGCTCGCCATGCTTTATTGGTGGCTCTCCTGACAGGTTACAACAATATAAGTCTGATAGGAATGTTTTGCCTCCAATTCCTTCATGTGTCCAGTTTCATTACTTTTTGTCTGTCTAAACAGATCTCACTTGTAAATGAGTCTTCTAGGCTCAATGTGACTTATCTGTCTAAATAAAGGTTGAATGAATGCCAGCACAGCCAATACATTTTTAAAACGTGCTGGCACATTGAGCAATAATTGCGCATGTCGGCTCGGGCTTCTATGTTGTGGTTTTACAACTCATACAGCACAAATAAAACTAAATAAGAATGCACCATATAAAATTGTGTTCATCTATATTTGTAGAGGAGGATGCAGGTCCGACTGGCCGGTAGAGGTAAAAAAAAAAGTCCAGGTAATCTCAGATGGATCAGCTACCGGCCGGGTGCGTCTCCGCACCTGCTGTCATCTGCAGTGAAGGAAGCAGGAGCATACAGGGCCGGTTCTAGGCATGGTCACATGAGGGGGCAGGTGGGAATGTGAAGGGGCATCTTCATCCGTACACATATTACAGCATATTCATTGTTGAGCATGGACTGTGGTATTCATTGTTATTGTTGACTTGTGTTTTCTTCATGGGACTGGGGTAATAGCTAAAAGCTGAAATTTTTACAGTCAACATTTTCAACCATGAACACTGTCAAGCAAAAACAGAGAAACCGACTGACTCGTGTCCATCTTGAATGTCTCACTGTGACAACAAATTACAAATACAACAGGACGTGCACCACAGCTTCTCATCTCAGTACTAATGTACATTTTGTTTAAACAGATAATGCGCTGGCTGTGTTTCTTTTTTGTTCATAGGTGGGTTGTTTAATTATTTTTATTTTATTGGAGTGACTTGGGGTGATATTGCAGCTCTCCCCTTGACTTTCATCTGTCAATATGGCTCTTTTGAAAATAAAGAGTGAGGATCAGTGAGCTTAAACATTTATTTTTATCTTGGTTCTCTTTACTTTTTATGCAAGATTGTTACAAAGCTGTATAGGACTTTTGGCAGCATTCTATTTTTTATTAGACACACTCGTTTTATCTCACCTGTCCCACGATTGGCTTACAGCAGGCACCACAAACTCCTTTAGCTACTGTTTGCACCCCTAGTTTGTTGAGGTCCGACTGAAGGCTACCGAGCATGTTGTCCAGTTTGTTGACCTGCGTTGGGGGCCCACCAGGAACACCAGCTTTTCCTTGAGCCATTATCTGAAATCATCCAAGGTCCAAATAGTTATAATAGTAACGTGCATCTTTGATGAACATGACAAAAGTAACTTTGTATGAAACACTTTACTGAAGTTTAAAAGTGTGAAAAACAGAGAGGATAAGAGACGGGGACTCATGCCTGGCTCGGAGGGAAGAATGGGTCATATTCTGTTTGGCAGCCTACAGACACCAGAACTTTGGGTGCAGATGATTGTACTGGCTCCTCTGGTGGTGGTCGGGCCGGGGTGCTGAAGATATGGGGAGGTTGCTCTGGCTTGGGGGCAGGAGGGTCCCGAGTTGGGGCAGGTGGAGGTGAGGCTTTAATAATCTGCTGAGGTGGAGGGGGGACTGGTTCCTGAATGCGAGTAGTTGGTAGGCAGGTAGAAGTGGGTGGAGGAAGAGGAGGTGGAGTTGGAATAGGGAGCCGATGTAGTGGAAGAAGTCCCTTAGGTTCTTCTACAACAGGGGTACGACGAGATATAGGGGGGGAGAGAGGGGGGAGAACCTTCCTGACAGCCACAGGCGACTCGGGGGGAATTACAATCTGAAGACAGAAAGAGACAGAAGGGAGCAGACAGAGGAAAATGAAGACAACTAGAGGACAAGCGTTAGATGAAAAGTGCCGAGCACACTGAAGCCAACCTTATCAACCTCACTTCCACAGCCTTCGGGACGGAAGCGCTGAGGTTTGGAAGTGACAATGACGCCCTCCGTCAGCCACTCGTCTGACTGTTTGCGCCGCCGCTCCGAGCGGTTGATCCCAAATTTACCCTGAAGCTCCTCTATGAGACGGTCCTGAGAGGAGTTCTTGTTTACAATGATGGGTCCCACCTTCCTGCGCAGCTGACCGTCTCGGTACATGGGGTGCACATTGGGAATCTCCTTAGTGCGCCTTATCATCGCTTTTAGCTGAGAGGGAACAGTGAGCACCTTATCTTACGGTTACATTAATCGTAAACCAACACAAGCAACATGCCAAGATGCTGTGGTGCTCAGTGGGCTTTAGGTCACACCTCATACTTATTGCATGCCAAGGTCCCATCTGTGCAAAATATTCTTCCATCCAGGCTTTAAGGTTTCTCAAGGGATTATAAAGTCTTCAGAAGGCAATTTGCATTAGTTTCCTTCACACAAAACTGCTGCAACAGGCCACAAAGATTTTAGTTTCAACAGCACCAAACAGTGAGGTGAATGTTTAGTATTACACTAAAAGCTGTTAGATGCCATCTATTCATGTAGCTTCTGCTTAAAATTATAAATTCTTATATTTGTTTTTATAAAGTTCAGATATTTTGTGTATTTTTGTCAAGATATGTAAGCATACAGTGCTCAACTAATTGACAATTTGGTACATTTGAGTGAAGCTCAAAGGTACAGGACAGGGTTTAATTTAGTTAGATTGGATAAATTGACTATACAACACATAAACAATTAAATAAAAATTCACACATTGTATCAGCTTTGTCTGATAGTATATAATAAGACATGAGTGCTGATCACTGAACGCTATCAAAACCATGAGTGTTGTTACTTAAAGAATCACTAGTGAGCACCATGGTAGACATAAACAAATACATATCCAATGGTTTCTTTCACCCAGTCCTAAAGCGGAGGCAAGCATGTATAAAAGCATCATTAGCCTGGAGCAGAACAACTGGTCACACTGGAGAGCAGATGCATACATGTCCTGTTGCAGAGACTCTGTCCATACTGGGAGTCTGCAGGAGGGGCAGGTCCAGGGCAACATCAGGGGTCCCGGGACACGAGGAGGGGGTCATGCACTCATCCATCCAGCTAGCTTCTGTCAGCGGAGTCATGCTGCCATCGGTGTACAGCCTCTCTGTGTAAGGCGTCATGGTGCCATCCAGCCCATCATGTAAGGACACGGACAGCTCCTCGTCAGCCCAGTCCAGGTCTCCATTCCCGTCGGTGCCTCCGTCTACTGAATCATCTGTCAGGGTGTTGGTGGCACTGGTGAAAGTGTCGGGCTGCACACTGTTTCTGTCTACAGGAAGGATAAGCTCCTCTAGCACCTCCTGCAGCATTTTGCTGTGGCAGTGTGCCTTCTCGTGTGCTGCTGAATGACTTTGTTCAAAACTCATGGCTAACAGCTTGTCTAGCTCATCATCCAGGGTGGGCTCAACCACAGAAGGTTGATGCACAGCGAGGGGGACGTCTCTCTGAGCTGCAGGTGGCACCTCATATAACTGTCTGCTGGTGCTGGTGAAAGCCAGGGGAGATGGGACCATCAGTGGAGAGACTGCAGGTGGGGAGTATGTTTTGGATGGAACGTGCACACAAGATGGTGAAGCAACACAGAGAGGGAGAGGAGTAGAGAGGGGAGGACTGAAGCTTTTTGGAAGAGGTGGATTGGAAAAATTTACATTGTGGTTCTGAAAACAAGCAGACCCCGGAGCGCAGGACAGTTTACCAGTAGTAGTTGAGGGTGAGATCCGTTCCACAGATGGACTCGAGGACTTGGGGCTTTTGCCGTCCAGGACAGTATTGACTGAGCTGAGTGAGAGGGTGGTGGTATTGGAAAGACTCGGGCTATTTCCCAACAAGCTGGAATTAGAGGGAGCAGACTGAGAGCGCACTAGCAGGGACTTTGTTTGAGATGACAGCATGGTGGCAGAGACATCTATGACAGAGTCCACATCTACATCACTGACTGCAGAGAGAGAGGAGGTGGGACTGTGGGGAGCAAGACGGCTCGGACGGGGCATCAGCATGCCACCATCGCCTCCATCCTCATCTATGTGCAGCTCTAAATCAGAAGGTAATGGGAGGAGGGGCGAGGCAGGCGGGTTGGACAGACTGTGGGAGGAAGAAGCTACTGGAGTAACAGAAGACGACACTGGAGAATGACGAAAGGTGGAAGGTGCCCCTGGTGGGTCGAACAAGGAGCCCAAAGAATTGGGCTAGAAAACAGAGAAGCAAAATGAAAATAAGAGAAAAGTGACAGAGATAATGACAAATATTTCAGGTGAGGCTCAAGTTTATTGAAGAAGTAAGAGGAGTTAGCTCATCTTGGTACCTTGAAATCAGACAAAGAGGCCATCAGTTCATCGAGCTCTCTTGTGGCGCAGGACGCTGAAATTCTGGCTTGTTGTTGAGGTGATGTATCCAAATCATTGTGACGAGTAGAAGAGCTGAAAATTACAAATAATAATGCCATTTGTAATCATAAACAATCAAACAGATTTGATCCATCGTTGGCATCACTAGGTCCTCACAAAATAGTACATTTGACAGGTGATCCCTGTGTGTGATGTAAGAAGAAATGACACATGTTGATTTCAATAAGAAAATTATAGTAATTTGTTTTTTTGGAGGGTGACTCGCTGTGGTGACCCCTGAAGAGAGAGCAAACAAAAGAAGAAGATAGAAATGTATTGTTTTTAACAATCTAGGCCTAGAGAGGGCAGCTCGAAGGTTAGGAGATGTGCTATAATCAATTATAGATTGTGAGGTTTAACGAACAAAGCAATTTAGTAGAGATGCACAATATTATTGGTATGGTATCGGCCGATATGAGCAATAATTAAATATCGTACATTCCATCAAAATAACTTAACAATATAAAATACGCTGTTTTATACATACATACGTATATATATACATATATACAGTGAGGAAAATAAGTATTTGAACACCCTGTGACTTTGCAAGTTCTCCCACTTAGAAATCATGAAGGGGTCTGAAATTTTCATCTTAGGTGCATGTCCACCATGAAATAAATAATCTAAAAATAATAATCCGGAAATCATACTGTATGATTTTTAAAATAATTTATTTGTGTGTTACTGCTGGAAATAAGTATTTGAACACCTCCCAATCAGCAACAGTTCTGGCCCTCAAAGACCTGTTAGTCCTCCTCTATAACGTCCACCTCCACTCCACTTATTATTCTAAATTAGAAGCAGCTGTTTGAGGTCGGTAGCTGCATAAAGACACCGGTCCACCCCACACAATCAGTAAGACTCCAACTACTAACATGGCTAAGACCAAAGAGCTGTCCAAAGACACCAGAGACTAAATTGTAGACCTCAACAAGGCTGGAAAGGGCTACGAGGCAACTGCCAATCAGCTTTGTGATAAAAGATCAACTGTTGGATCCTTAGAAAATGGAAGAAGCTAAACATGACTGTCAATCTCCCTGGGACTGGGGCTCCATACAAGATCTCACCTCGTGGCGTATCAATGATCCTAAGAAAGGTGAGGAATCAGCCCAGAACTACACGGAGGAGCTGGTCAATGACCTGAAGAGAGCTGGCACCACTGTTTCCATGGTTACTGTGGGTAATACACTAAGACGTCATAGTTTAAAATCATGCATGGCACGGAAGGTTCCCCTGCTTAAATCAGCACACGTCCAGGCCCATCTTAAGTTTGCCCATGACCATTTGGATGATCCAGAGGAGTCATGGGAGAAAGTTCTGTGGTCTGATGAGACCAAAATAGAACTTTTTGGTCTTAATTCCACTCGCCGTGTTTGGAGGATGAAGAATATGGAGTACCATCCCAAAAACACCATAGCTACTGTGAAGCATGGGGGTGGAAGCATCATGCTTTGGGGGTGTTTTTCTGCACA